TTTTAGACCTGGATAACCTAGAACTATGCCGCCTATGACTTAAGCTTAGTTCACAAAAATGCCCGCTACAATGTCCTACCTGTCAGTGACTACTTCAGCTTCAACCACAATAACACAGAAGGGCAAACAATAGATGCAAACTCAAAGTAAACTGCTCCAAACTTGATTGCAAAAAATACGACTTCAGCAACAGAGTGGTCAATGCCTGGAATGCCCTACCTGACTCTGTTGTTACATCCTCAAACCTCCAAAATGTTAACCTTAAACTGTCTACTGTGGACCTCACCCCATTCCTGAGAGGTAAGGGGGCATGCATAAGCGCACCACCGTCCCTCTCCTACTGTCTCCATTTATTTGTACCCATTTCCTATGTATGCCTGCTTATACTTACATGTTTATATGTTATATTCATACTTATACTTGTTTTCTCATACATGCTTGACAAACCAAATAAATAATAATAATAATAATAATAATAATAATAATAATAATAATAATAATAATAATAATAATAATAATAATAATAATACATATACGTAAGTCTAAGTGCTAATGCTATGAAAGCCAGTAGACTTATTGATTCTCCTTGCTAGGGGGAGCATTCACCTTTTTCAAAGTCCCTTTGTGCCTTATGATTCTATGTTCAATGTTCAATGCCAGAGAGATGGATTAAGGGGCACTAGGGAAAAAAGAGACAGCCTTCTCCTGCAGATAGGAAGATGAACTCTGCAGGAAGTTCTTCATATCAACAGAAGGGGCTACAAAGAAATGGAGAAGGGGCCAGTCAGCCCTCCAATATGGATCAAACATAAGAACCAAATACATGCAAAATAATTATATTTCTATTTATTTACTATGGTTACAATCACAAAATCTTGCAAGTCCAATTTTTCCCCTCTCCCTGTATCTTCAGAAAAGGAGGCTCACGAGGTGAGGAGAGGAAGATGGAAGGGAGAAGGAGAGAGGGAAGGAAGGGGAAAAGGAAGAGAGGAGTAGGGGAGAGGAAAGGGAAGACGGAAAGGAAAGAGGAAGGAAGACAGTAGAGAAGGGAGAAAAGAAAGGGAAAAGAAGGTGGTGTCAAAACAGGCAAGGGATGGTAAACAAAGCAACCCAAATGGTACATTATAACCCTGTAAATGGAACGATGAATGTATAAGAATGACGAATGTAAAAAAGAACAATAACTATGTGAATGTATGCCTATAATTGTATATAGAGAACAAAATTTTAAAAAAACTTTTCCAGAAAAAGAAAAAAAAGGAGGCTCAAGTCCAAGATGCTTTCTCAACTTCATTTCTTTTTGCCGAAACTCGATTAATTTTATCTTACTGTTGCCTTGGTTACCGCTCTTCCTCCAAGACCCTCTAGGTCTGGGTTATTTCTAACGCCCATAAAGGGGGGGGGGATCAGAAGCCGGACCCAACCAAGGTTTTCCCCCTGGTGGCTTTGTTAGGACCCCCAGCCAAAAGGTGCCTTGGGGGAAAACCACGCCCACTTCCCTCAGGGTGCGGGGGGGGGGCGGAGACAGGTGAAACTCCAGGGCTTTGGGTGGGCAGGTGAAGGAAAGCAGCGTAGCAGCCACTCGGGGAAGCGTCGCGTGAGAAGGCGTACAGCCAGAGGGGCGCGCCGGCAGATCGGCCTTCCCCGGGGCTGGGAGGAGCCGGGCCCGTTCGGACGGTGCAGGTGTCCCTCCTCCTCCTCTTCCTCCTCCCCCCAGTCTGGAAACTCCGCCGCGGCTGAGAAGCCTCCCCCCACCCACCCAGCACCAGCGTATTTCTTTCGGGAAAGGGGCGGGGGCGCCTCCGCGCCGTTATATCTGCCCCCTGCGGGCGAGGAAGAGGAAGAAGAGGAGGAGGAAGAGGAGTGCGCGGCGGTCCCAGAGGAGCTGCAGCTGTGCCCGTGGGAAGAGCGCGCCCGCCTGGCGGAGGAGAAGAGAGAGGCAGCCCGCTCTCCGCTTTGGCTCTCCGGGAAGGACGCGGAGGAAGAGACGGCTGGCTGAGCAGGTGAGCGCAGCCCCGTTTTCTGCCTCTGGCTTTCCCTCTTTCGCTCTTTTCATCCTCTTTCCTCTTCTGTCCTTCCTCTCTGCTTTCTTTCTCTCGCCTTCCTTTCCTCTTTTCTTGACTCTTTTCTCCCTTTCCTTCCTTCCCCTCTCTTCCCTCTTTTCCTCTTCTTTCCTTCCCTCCCTCTCTCTTTCTCTTCTTTCTTCTGCCCATTCTTCCGTCCTTCTCTTTCTCTCCACCCTTCTTTTCTTTCTCTGTTTCCTCCCTCCCTCTGTCCTTTTTTTTCTTACTTCATGGCTCAATTCCTTAGTCAGCACCGGGAGGTTAGAGATGAACTGGTGGTGTAGTAGGAAAGTGATGGACTAAGAGTAGTGAGACCGACCTTCCTTCCTTTCCTTCCTTCTTTCCTTCCTTCTTTCTTTCCTTCCCTTCCTTCCTTCCCTTCTGCCCATTCATCTTTCCCTCTCCTTCTCTCTTGTTATAGTTCACCAATGAGCCTAACTAAGTTAGGCAGAGAAGACTGCAGAAAATTGGCAGAGAGAGAGAGAGAGGGAGGGAGGGAGGGAGGAAGGGAGGGAGAGAGAGAGAGAGACTGACTTGTACCCCTTTTAAACCAGGGAGAGGAGGGCTGGTGAATCAGTAGTGATTCTAAGGAAGACATCCATGCTTTCCAGAGAGAACTTTTATCTTAGATAAACTTTGGATTTAAAAAATCATAACTGAATTGTTGGACGGTCATTTCATTTGGAAAAACTGGATTCGTACCCTTTGATGATGAGGTGGTAAAATTAGTTGGGTGGATTCACAGGACCTGCTAAGCCACACATTGAGCCACTATTCTTCACTCAGAGCAAAGGGATTGGGGCCAGTTAGTAGTGACTGGAGTAGTAAGACTAGTAACCCCAGTCTTATGTGTGATCCCAGACTCGACATGCAATAGATTTGCACATTATGCTCAATCAGAATATGCTTTTGTGTGTGTGTGACTTTAGCTTAGTTCTTATCATGAATGAGTACACAATCTCCTGACTGTTTGTTCTAATTAATATCTAGTGAGTCTCCTTTGGTTCGCTGCTGGGTATGTGTGCTTAGGACTGCTTTCAAAAATCAAGTGGTTGGTAGTAGTTTTCTCAACTAACACTTTTTATTAAAAGGCTGCAAGCTCACCAAAACAGATATCAATAGCACTTAGATTTATATACCACTTTACAGCGCTTTTACAGCCCTCTCTAAACAGTTTACAGAGTCAGCCTCTTGTCCCCAACAATCTGGCTCCTCATTTGACCCACCTTGGAAGGATGGAAGGCTGAGTCAACCTTGAGCCTGGTGAGATTCAATCTGCCCAATTGCAAGCAGCTGGCAGTCAGCACAAGTAGCCTGCAGTACTGCACTCTAACCATTGCACCACCACAGATGCCTTTTAATCAAGTTTGTTAGTCAGAAAAGGTGCTAGCAGACTCCTGATTTTTTTGACTGCCAGAGACTACAGGTAGTCTTCAACTTATGACCATTCATTTAGTGAACGTTCAAAGTTACAACAGCACTGAAACAAGTGGCATGACCAGTTTTCACAGTTATGACTTTTGAAGCATCCCCATGATCATGTGATCCAAATTCAGATGCTTGGCAACTGGTTCATATTTATGACGGTTGCAGTGTCCCAAGGTCATATGATCATCTTCTCACAAACAAAATCAATGGGGAAGCCAGATTCACTTAACAACCAGGTGACTAACTTATCAACTGCAGTGATTCATTTATTAACTGTGGCAAGAAAGGTCATCAAATGAGGCAAAAGTCACTTAAGAAATGTCTCACCTAACAATAGAAATGTTGGGCTCAATTGTAGTCTTAAGTCAAGGACTACCTCTAACACAGAGAAACGGGATGGAAAGTATCAAAATGCAGTCATGTGCACACCCCGGTGTGAGCAAACTGGACTTCAGGGTAGACATATGTGCTAGAATCACCTTTGCTGTCACTAAGCTATTGCACAATTTTATAGTTCCTTTGGGTGAGGTTATTGGTAAACTCATAAACATTGCAATTTATTTATTTTTTAAATTCTATGTATCTCTTGCATATTTTTCTGAGGGGCCAAAATATGCCAGAGAGAGAGAGAAAGAATCTCAGCTCCCTAGCACAACAGAGACACACAGATGTAGGAAAATCTTTTGTGAGTCCATCCTACCCATGATTTTCCCATGATAAATCCTTTCATTTTTTTAAAAAAATGCAACTTGAGTTTCCCTGGGCCTCGTGCCACCTAAAATCGTAACTTCATTAACCATGATTTGTTGAGTAAACCGAATGGATTGGATTGACCTAAAGTACTCAAAACCCTAATTTAACAAGACCATGGTGGTTGGGTTCACAAACCGCACCAGAACAAAAGCAAAGCACATTATGGTTTAGCACAGTGTATCAACATTATCTGTGGTTTTGCATGTTTTCTTAAAGCAGATCAGGTTTTAGATTGTTCCGTTTCAAAGTTTGGCCGAAACATATTGAAGTCATAACAATGTAAGCATATTGCCAATCAATATTTTGCTTATCCCTCCCCCCCCCCCATCAACCTATTATATAGAGCTGGGGCCCCTTACCACCACAAACCAATCTGCATTTTTTAATCTTCCTCGTGCATTGGTAACTTCTTTCAGTTCTTCCCATCAAACAAAGAAAAACTGCTACCGTGTTCTTCCTGAGCAATGCGCCCCCTTCTAATCTATTCAGGATGTCATGCCTCCAATCGTTGATGCTTAGATATACAGAGAAAAGGTTATATCTGCATTTCATCCCAAACCACAGTCTCCTCTAATATTGTTTTTCATAATACACAGATAAGCTTTTATGAAAGAGTCGGTTTTTGGATTGAAAGCTAATTTAGATTAAAGGTCTGTTTTTTCAGAGGGGAGATGGTGCTCAGTGGCTAAGATGCTGAGCTTGTCGATCAGAAAGGTCGGCAGTTCAGCAGTTCAAATCCCTAGCATCGCGTAATGAAGTGAGCTCCTGTTACCTGTCCCAGCTTCTGCCAACCTAGCAATTCGAAAGCACGTAAAAAATGCAAGTAGAAAAATAGGGACCAACTTTGGTGGGAAGGTAACAACGTTCTGTGCACCTTCGGTGTTTAGTCATGCCGGCCACATGACCACGGAGATGTCTTCGGACAGCGCTGGCTCTTTGACTTTGAAACAGAGATGAGCACTGCCCCCTAGTGTCAGGAATGACTAGCACACATGTGCAAGGGGAACCTTTACCTTTTTAGATATACAGAGAAAAGGTTATTTCTGCATTTCATCCAAAACCACAGTCTCCTCTCATATTATTTTCTATAGGACACAGATAAGCTTTGCTAATTATAAAAGAGTCAGGTTTTGGACTGAAAGCTAATTTAGATTAAAGGTCTGTTTTTTCCCAGAAAGCTGAATGAATTGGGTGGGTAGAGATCCACAAAGAGTGGAGGGACTCTGGTAATGTAGGGTTCCCCCCCCCTATTTTGCATAGGGTGGATGGTATTTTGGGGGTGAGTGGGCTATGATTCAGTCTTGACTCTGGCGCAATTGCCAGGACAAGTCCCTGCAGTTTTCTTGGCAACATTTCTTTGAAGTGATTTGCCCTTGTCTTCCTTCTCCTGGGGCTCAGAAAGGGTCTGGCCCCAAATCACCCAGCTGGCTTCATGTCTAAGGCAGAATTAGCATTTTGTTCTATCTTGGTGCCACTAACAACCATACCAAGCTAGCATTCATTTCTTTCAAATCAGTCTGAACTCTTGGTAGCTGCTTGGAGAAGAATCTGCATTTTCTTGGCAACGTTTTTGGAAATGTTTTGTCCCTAGGATTGTTCGTAGACTTGTGAGAGGGAGAGATTAGCTTAAAGTTCCCCAGATATGGCTCCATGCCTAAAGCAGGACTAGAACTCACCCACTGCCATTTTTAGTTTGCTGCTTTCACCACTATATCAAATTGCTCTTTGTGGCAAAGGTGGGGGTACTTTCTCTTACTCCTGCAGTGGTTCACCTTCCTTGTTTATTTCTGCAGTCAGCTGGAGGTGATCATGAGTGATCTTCTGGTGATGTTCCTTGCAGGTTGACAGCATTTATGGTTGGCAAAAGTAAAGCACATCGCAGGTTAGTTTTAATCAGTCTTGGAGCACAAGGGGACAGCAATTTGACTTAGTCTGGTCCAGAAGTGCCTAGAATGAGCTGCCAGGTTTAGCAAACTTTGGTGCCCAACTGAGGTAAAGCCTTCTTCATGGCAGCTGAGCCTTTGGTCCTGGACACGACCAGATGGTTTTCTTGCAAGAGTATAGAAGTCTTCACATGGTCTTTTTCTGGAGCATTAAACTCAGGCCTAAAACCAGAGGTGAAATTCAATTTTTTTTTTACTACCAGTTCTGTGGCCGTGGCTTGGTGGGCCTATCAGGGGAAGGATACTGCAAAATCTCCATTCCCACCCCACTCTGGGGCCAGCCAGAGGTGGTATTTGCTGGTTCTTGGAACTACTGAAAATTTCCGCTACTGGTTCTCCAGAACCTGTCAGAACCTGCTGAATTTCAACCCTGCCTATAGCCCAATGTTTCTCTAACCTGGCAACTTTGACATGTGTGGGCTTCATCTCCTAGAATTCTAAGGATTCTGGGATTTGAAGTCCACATCTCTTAAAGTTGCCAACTTTGAGAAACTTTCCTATAGCCTTGAGATGTCCTGGTACTCACCACTTTAATACTGTATTAACCAGGTCCTACTGGTTACTCAAGGGATGCGGTGGCTCAGTGGCTAAGACGCTGAGTTTGTCGATCAGAAAGATCAGCAGTTCAAATCCCTAGTGCTGCATAATGGAGTGAACTCCCGTTATTTGTCCCGGCTTCTGCCAACCTAGCAGTTCAAAAGCATGTAAAAATGCAAGTAGAAAAATAGGTACTACTTTGGTGTGCCTTCGGCGTTTAGTCATGCCAGCCACATGACCACAGAGACATCTTTGGACAGCGCTGGCTCTTTGGCATTG